TCCCATCTACAATCAGATACATATCTATGTATATATATCTGACCATATCCACAGGTTCTAGCCGACTGCTGTGCCGTAGATCGTGGCACCTGTTCCAAAGATGATACCAACGACACCAGAGAGGAGCAGTATGTAGGTGCAGATGTAGTCGAAGGCACCAACCTTCTTCCAGGAAAAGCCCCCCGAGTACATCACAAATAGTGCCGGCAGGAGGAATCCAAGCGAGCCGCCGGTGATGCCACCTGCAAAGCCAAGCACAATCTTGATCTTTGGAATGAACAGGCCACACAACAGCATAATGACCGCAAAGACGAGGACAGCAATAATATGCTTCCAGTAGGGAAGCTTATCAGCTTCCCAGCCGATGCTATGGTAGATCGCATTTCTGAACGCCATGGAGAGCAGCGCATATGAGGCGCATAACTTCCACAGAACGCCAACAAACGCCACCATAATCATCGGCTCCCCAATAGGGTTGTACATGAGTAGAATAGAGTCGGTCACCTCCCTGCCAAAGTCGAGATAGCCGAATACGGAGGTCAAAGCGTACAGCACGAAGCAGAGCATCATTCCCAGTCCTGCGGCCAAGGTGTACCTGGTTAGTGTGGGGTTTTCCATGTCCCAGTACACCTCGTAGGCGTTAATCTGGCAAACATATGCGAACATGAAGACACCGAGCCCCTCAATCGCTTTGTTTCCGGTATTAAAGAGCACCACTAGGGCGTCGTCGTCCTTGCCCACGCTGATGTTGTGGGAGTTCTCCGGCAGACCGTTCATGCACGAGTGCACGACGATCACAATGACAAAATACACCATGAAAGTGACGGCGAAGGTGGAGAAGTAGCGCAGTGAATCGATGTGCTTCGGAATAACAAGTGGAACCATAATACAGAGCCACACAGCTGACGTCAGCACTCGATTGCCTGGAGTTGTCTTGAGGAACTCCGGTACACTCGCACTGTTATTCATGATGGAAGAGAATATGTCTCCCACGCTAATCACGTACGCGACGCATCCACTAAAGGCGTGGAACGCACGGACGCCGGCGGCGAAGTACGCGAACCAACGGCCCAGCAGCACACGCGCAACGCCCTCGAAGGTGTGGATCTGTGTTCGCTGCGCCGCGATGCCGAGGCACCTCATAGAAAAGATAGTGAGGAACGTGATGATAGCGAGGAACAAGAGCGCCATTACGAGTCCGCTGCTGTTCGTCGCTGCAGGGAGTCCGAGGATGCCAGCGCCAAGCGACGACGACGCCAAGTTGAAGGCGCTCGCAACGATACCGCCCGGCGGGATGATGGTAACGACGCACTTCTTCAGTAACCCCAATATGCCATCCTTCTCGTGTTCCGCCTGCTCTGGCATCTTATCAGAGTCACCGGCGACGTGCGGGGTTGCCCCGCTGCCACCGCCTTCGTATTGGGTATACTGCAGCGTCATCTCAGCGTCATTCTCTTGTTCGTCAGATAGTGGTGCTGTGTTTCCTTTTTCCGCAGGGTCCTCAGTGTATTGTCCACTATCACGAAGCATTTTTCTTCTTGTGAGGTATATCGCCTACTCGCGTGTGGACAGTTATATGTGTGGCGATGGATATGTTCTGCAGCAAAAGGGAATATGATCACAGAAACAACAGAGCCTCGAAAGCAGCAGTAGTAGAAAGGTGAAACGCATAGGAGTAATATACCACACATCCCCTGTTATCGTTTTAGTAAGGGGAGTCTAGCGACTGTCACACGGCAACGACGACAGCTACCGAGGACCTAAAAAAGAAAAAAAAAACAGTTACTCTGTGGGGAAGTGAAATACGAATACAGTGGGTGTTTGTAGACCTCAAAAACAGTACAGCCACGAACCAACACCAACCAACAGGTGCTCCTCTGCGACGCGCCGTTCTTGTTATGTTTCTCTGCAATATGCCACTTCGGGACTATTTATCAACTAGATGCCTTGAACAGCAATGCATGGAAAGCTGACGCCTTCAGCAACCATAATGGTTTGGCACACGCAATAAATCCACAGGCTCGCGTCCAAGCACCACCACGTTGGTATCTGCCCATTGGAGAGGGCACGATAACGTCAGTCTCACCTTTATGGGCCTAACACAGCCAGTGGGTATGATCATACGACTGTGGGCTGGCGTAAACAAGCCGCAGCGTACTATAACATGAACCAACAAGCAATTGCCTATGCATCCACACACCAAGACGTTATGTGAGAAAGACGAATACTGCACAGAAACCACCAAATAAGTTTGGCGCAGCTCGTACACGCGTCTTCGTAGCCCTATACTGTCAGAGATCCACAAAACGCCGCCAAACCCTCACCCAACTGTACGTCACATTCACACGAGAGCACACCCACACCCACACACACACACACACACACCACATAAACGTAGCGCACGGCACCCAATTACACAACACTCATCACCCCTCAGCATTAGCTGAAGCGTGTGTGGATCGAGGCAAGAGAGCAGAGCCACCCCCGCATAACAAAAAGAGAAACAAGCACAAGTTCCGACTCCAGTGACAAAATGAAAAAAAACGGGGTGGCATTGACCATAGCAAAGCAAGCCAGAGTCAAAAAGGGGGAGTTTGAGGGACAAAGACGCTGCAACAGCAATGGTGTGAGAGCAACTCAAAAGAAACACTCAACGCATAAATTTAAGCGAAAAACTCGCATCACGCCGAGGGAACCGCAAGTACAAAGACCCAGCGGGCCCAACAACGCGGCAGTCTAAGAGCGCATACTTCATCATTTTTCAGCACTTAAATTGTATTAACTTCATCCGACGCCGATCCACTTTGCGAAACATATATTTCCTCGGGGCGGGCGCTTTCCTGCTTGCAAAGCGTTTCATCCATCGCACGTAGTCGCGCGGCTTGACGTGCTGGACAGCAACCAAACTTGACATGGGGTAGCGCTTGGAGAATCCACGGCTACTGTCATGGAAGCGGCAATTGCTCTCACCCACATACACCAGACCCTTGTAGAGCAGTACATGTAGCACGTGCCCCACCATCACATCCTCATGATCCATATTTAAGGAGGAAAACAGCATCTTCACATCATCGCTGTAGGGCAGGCGAAGCAAACGTTGAAGCGGCTCATACGACACGAAACGCTCCGCCACATTCTTTGATAGCGTCATGCAGAACCCCATCACGAAATGGAAGGTGAAAGGCTTATGCCATTTGCACAGATTTCCCCAGTAAACTCCCTCACGAGGCAACGTGCGAAGGTCTGCAAGGTACTGCGGCACGCGCAGAAACGTGTCGTCGTCACCCTTCGCGAAGTATGTCGCAGTCGGGAACAGCCGCAGCGCCATGTCGAACCACAGAAACACCTTGCGGCTCAGCCCAACCTCAGCCTCCATACCCCACTTGAGGCCACCACCAAGCGTCTTGTTGGTCGATGGGCGCCCCTCATTCATCGGCAGCGCAATCACATCGTTCCACTCCACCGCTTCCGCCTCCAGCCCTGCGGAGTACGTGAAGTTGTGCGACGGGTGCCGCGCCAGTACGTACAGCACCAGCATCGCACCAGTGAAGTTGTTTAATCTCGTCGCCACACCGGGGAACCGCCAGCACGACGTACGCTGCAGGTTGCGAAGCCTCTGCCTCGCATCGATATCTAACGATGGGATGCCGAGCACAATCAGGAATTGACGCTCAATGAAAGTGCGTGCAGCACCGAGTGAAATGAACTGTAGGGACTCATCATCAAACCTGGAAGAGGCACCTGGGGATTCTTTAGCTGAGGTAACGGTTGGATCGTATTCAGTCGCGTAAGCATCCAGCCGATAGAACGCAAGAACTGTTACAAACAATACGAGAGTGCAGATATAAGTCAACGGATGTGATGGCATGCCATTCCGTGCCATGACCGCTATGTCCTTGTAGGTTTAAGACATGAAAAAGTGCGAACATACCGTTATGACAAGTATAGAGTCCGGGCGAGTGTTAGCGCCCGCAGCAGCACACACTTTCACCACTCAGCTATAAGTACACAATGACGAACAGCCCTAAGTTTTAAGAAGGGTTCGCCCACCAAGACTGCAGGGCGTTACTCACTTGCTGCTCCACAAAGGAAAAACGAAAAAAACGCTTACACTGGATCGGGGCAGGGAGGGGCGCAGAGAAACTCCC